CTAATTGTAAACCGCCATAAATGAGCGAACCCCATAGCTTATCGATATTAATTCCAGTACCAGATAGATTCAAAACTCGAAGACTGATACATAATGATAGCAACTGTAGTAAATCACTGACATCCTGCATATATGCTAATAATTAATTAAATAAAGGAAAAATTAAGCAAATTAATTTTAACAGATTTTTCTAGCATATTTTACAACTACTACATTTCATGATATACACTTTTTCAGATATATGCATTTACCGTCGATTATGGTGATACCACAATTTTAATGCTATGTCCTATTTTATTTTCTTGCTACAAATTTTCATAAACAAAAATTTTGTAAAAACTTATTGGAGATAAAAAGTTTCTGACTAATTCATCATATTAGTTTACACTTCATATTCTGCTTACATCTTTCAAATTGTTTCCTGAAAAGTCGAGCGTAGACAGAAATTTGCAATCAGGAATTGTATTCGCTTTGATCCCTTGCAAAATTCCGCAGCATACTTGATTAACACTTTTCTCTGACATTGCACATTCAGAAAGTGTTAACGATTGTAGTGATGTCAGTTTTGATAGCAAAGATGATAAAGCGACAAAACCTAGAATAAATTTGTAAAAATACACATTAATCTATGGCATTGAGCATTTGCTGTATAAAATTTAGAAAAAAAAAAAGAAGATGCTTCCTTATCCCTCTCTTTTTCAAAAGTTCTTTACAGGATTCATTTGGAAAAAAAAAAAAAAAAGATCAAATACATTGATAATGAAGCTCTAACCTTTCTTATCATCCAATACATTCTTGGAAAAATCCACTTCTTCCAGAGAAGATGCATTACCTTGTAAAGCATTCGAAAATGAAGCAATAAAATCTCTAAAATTTTTAACAAATTTATAAAACTTGAAAGTTTGTATTTATTTATACTTCATTAAATGTCATGGCATTAATGATTTACAAATTAGCTTTACTTTAAAGTGATTGAAAAGCATCTGCTGCAGTGCAGTCCTTTACCTGCATAATTTAGGAGCAACTCTTCAATCTTTATTGGAGTAAGGATATTATGAATCCTTTTAAAATATAATTAAAAAAAAAATACAGTAACAAAAAGATAACTTACTTTGGAAGAGCACAGTTACGAAGAATAAGAACTTTCAGAGAACGTGAATTACGAACAACTGATAAGATAATATCAACAAGATCTGAACCTAATCTGACATCATCGATGCATAAGCCCGTAAAATAACAGGAATACTGACATACAGCTACGATTGATAGCAAATCTCTAAAAACATGATGACCTAACAAAATCTTCCACATTATTTTGCAACAAACTTCAAAAACGAAAAAAAAAAAAAAAAACAGGATATTTAGAGTTTTTGATTCATAAATCAGAGTTAATCATTGTGCAAACTTATCAAAAACATAGCTTTAGTTCATTAAAAACGATTATTTAAAAAATTTTAACTTGAATACCTTGGAAGCAAATGAGTGAAGTCATCTAATCTTAAAATGTGAATTCCATGAGTAGCATATATTTTTTCTACATCCTGAAAAAAAGACGGCCGAATTTTAAAGCATTTTTCTATTAAATCTGAAATAAATGTAAAAGAACAAAAAAAAGTGGAGATATGAAAGGGAGAATCTTACCCATACAACTTCATCACGAAATGGTTGATCGTAATAATCACAAATGGCAGCGTAAGATCGACGGAAATTATGACATGGTAGATATGGTCGGCTACTAGGTAAAAACCAAAATTTGTCATATAAATCGGAAGGAATTAATTCCAACAAATTCCTGCATATATTTTATAAATATTAGATACAAAAAAAAAAAAAAAATGTAAGGAGAAATTCTATCATTATATATAGCATGTCATCGGTAATGATAAGCAAAAATTAATTTATTTTTTATTTTGTGAGTGTAAATTCAGACAAGTTTTTTGGCAAATTTTTGACTTTCCTTACCTTAGATTTTGAATAATATCCGGAAAATAATGTTTAAGAGCAGAAAGAACAGAAAGAGCAATGTTTTTGGAACCATTTTCTAAACGAATGAAAATGCGTCTTTTGCCCAAAAAACTTTCATCGAGACCAAAGCACACCTAAGAAGATTAAAAAATAAACAGATAATAATTTTGGGAAAAACAAAACGTTAGTATTAGAGATTAAAATAGCTAAAAGTTATTAATACTATACTTACAATTATTATATGTGCTTATTATATTTATTATATTTGCTATCTACTTCACACTTATTACTCTTGCAATTTATTAACTGACAAATCCAGCTGTTTTAATATTAATAACAACAACGGCTTGTAGCATTTCGATAACAAACTTGACATTTTAAAATACGATTTAATTCTTACATTCATCCTTTAGATAATTAGATTCAATATCTTGGTATGTAACAAAACGTCTGAATATTTAATAGATTTTTTCAAAGTTTTACTGATTGATCATCACCTGTCCCAAAATTTGATTAAATAACTGATTAGCTGCTTAGTACAGATTAAAAATGATGACAAACTATTACTTCATTATCATTGACAATTTGAATAATACGTATTGCTAAGATATGGAAAGTTCGATCAATTTTCAACGAAGACGGTGTTTTCCCATGTAATATAAAAACACGAAATTTTGACAATGCGAAGATTCGATTCTCAAACTTGTCTGTTTTTGTACCATATTCTACGCTACACGCCAATCGGCAATCCCAAAATTTTGATCCAAATATGGTATTACATTTCTCTGTAACAACAAGAAATATGGCTCAACTAATTAAAAGAATTAATATATAGAAACCAAATATTTTTTCATCCAATGTTTTTCTTTTTTTTTTTTTATTAATGGACATATTAATCTCTCCTTATGTGAAAAATTACATGAATAAAGTACTGTAATAGGAGAATGGATATCCAGCAAAAAGTAACTGCTACTAGAAATATAAAAATTCCTGCACATTATAAAATTTAAATTTAAAACAAAAAATTCTTGATTATAAAATTTCAATTTCAGTTAAGTGAATAGAAGTGCATTTATTTCGATCTTTTTTTTTAATTAAATAAAAACATGTGATACCTTGAACATAGCTACATAATTCGGCGAGTACACCTCGTGATAATGACATGTCTTAAATGATTTCCACCCTTTACATACCCATTTGCTTCACACCGTTATTTAAACTCACAACCTGTAATAGTAACAGAAATTAAATTAAATCTGTAATTTATGGAATTTCTAGAAGCAAACATCTGGTGGATAAGATGCAACAAATCTAATCGATAAAGCAATAAACAGCTTTTTTTTTTTTTTTTTTTTGCATCCATATTAATGAATAGGGAATGCAATAGCTATTTGAATGAAAAATAACAATGGGTAAATTAGGGGTATGTGTAGTCACCACTCACAGATATTCGTTTAAAGATGTGTAAATGGAAAATAGGGACGAAAACATGTTTAAAACGTAAAAGAGCAATATAACATAAATATTCAAGGAATCGAAGAAAATAAATAAAAATACAATACTTGAACACTTTGATATTATAAAAAACACAACGTACGATCATCCAATCAAACAAAAAAAATATTCAACAGCATATTATTAAAACAAACAAAAACAAAAAAATAAGAAACAGTACAAAGTTAGATTTGACATATGTTAATTTTAACAAATTATTAATAACTAATAAGATAAAGTGATAAAAAAAACTATCAAATTATTCATTAAGCAATAAAATTACAACTAATTATCAACTATTTCATTTCACTTTTTTTGTTTAAACTTCCATTTATAACTTAACTTAATTTTTCCATCCCATTCTTATCTTTTTTTCCGTTTTCCTTCACTTTCTCTTATCTTATCTATTTGTCTCATTTTTTTTATTTTCATTTCATTGATAGTTTCTTTCGTTTTTCTTTGATTTTTCTTTAAACAGTAAACTTTTGGCAGTAAGTCAAAGTACATGCTTCAAGAGTATCGCAATAGAATTGCAAAAATTTTTACAATTAGTAATGTTACGTGTAACGTGATACGTGATATGTGATATCATTTATCACGTCAAATGATATACATCCCTTCTAGCACGTAAACATATCCACTTTCATACACCTAAAAGTTAATTTTAACACTAACTACTATTACTTCAATGTGTCATCAGGGCAAGATGGCTGCAACATATGCATGAAGACAACTGCTGCAGCGTTATTCCTGTAGGGTTGATAAGCTTATGGTTGTATTAAATGTTTTATCTTTTTTCTTCACTTCCACTTTCGTTTTCTTTCCTTTCTTTATTAAAAGCTACTTTAGATTAGTCATTAAAAAGTTATTTTACAACAGTTATTATTATTACTATAAACTTATACTTGTTGTTTTTATATTAATGAAAAGATTTAGATTGAAATTTCTTTGAAGTTTTTTTTTTTTTTTTTTTTTTTTTTTTTACTTTTTTTGATTGATTAAAAACTTTATTGTTAATTATTGAATAGAATAATATACTGTTGTTCTATTGCTTAATTTTTGTAGTTGTTGTTCAAAGATTATCATTTCTCAGTCAATTATTACGATTTCTTCCGTTTTTTTTTCTTTTTTAAACTATGCCATATGTGATTAAATTTCAAATCTTAAAGTTTTATCCAATTTCACTCATTTATATATGATCAGAAGTTAGATTTGTTTCTAAATTGTATCAGTAATGAATAATTTCTGTTTTAGGTGAAATTATTTTGGATTATTTCTCTTATTTGTTTCTTTTTTTTTTTCTTTTGGTCTGCACCTCATTTATTTTGAAATTTTTTTGTATCTTATATAGAAATAAATCATTTTTTATCATATAACATGCATAGAAATCATATAAAATATACTTACGACATTACTATAGTTTTCGTCATATATATGTTTAAATTTGATTAAATATTGATAAATATATTTCAGTATGAAATTCATTTTCTGTGATGGTATAATTATCGTATAGAGAAATTCGATGGCATTGAAAAGATAAAATGTCATTTAAATGGCCATGGCAGTATGAATTTCCACCATTTTTCACGTGAGTTATTCGGCGAAAAACGAGTGAAAAAAAAAAAAAAAAAAAAAAAAAAACATTGTCGGGGAAAGTATAATTCAGAAATGATTCATTTTTGAGATTTTCTTTTAAAATAGTAGTGGAGAGAATTTTTTTTTTTTTTTTTTGGTGCAGTGAAGAGTGTTTACTTTATAGTGGTGAAAATTTTTTTTGTTAATGAAAGAAATTTTTTTTTTTTTGAGCTTATTAATTTCTTACATTATCGTCAATATTTTTGCATCATGATTATTAGTATAGGATTATCCTCAGTTAAAATCTCATGCTTCTATCTTTAATATCAAGAATTGAATTTCAGACTTTTCTGTAATACTTGTTTTTTTTTATAACAAGCATAAGTGTATTTATGTCTCCAATGTTAAGTAAATAAATTTCAAAATGATTATTATTAATTATTATTATTATTATTATTAGGATATAAATGGATTTCAGTAACCCTTCTCCTGTTTCTATTATACTTTTTTAATTTTAGCTTACAAACTACCTTAATAACTCGTGAAAAGCAGTTAGAAGCTTGGAGTCGGTTAGTTGTCGATTACTGCCAATTTCATAAAATTTATACAGTGGACTTAACAGATATATCAAATTCGGAATTGTTTGTTAATAGTGCTCTAAATCGGAAATTGTCATTGGACGGTGTACGAGTAGTGTTTGATTATCTCGAGCATAAAAGTAGGTTTACAATCTTATTCGTTCATTAGATTTCTCTGTTTTTCATCTTTTCAAAATGAAACCTTACCAAAAAAGAAAAAAAAAAAGTATAAAAATAGAAACAACTAATTTTGACCGTTTTCTTTTACCTTCTAAGAATCATTTCTTTCGTTTAAGATTTTACCGCAATAACATTAAATAGTTTGAAAATTCTAGTAAGGTTTTTAGAAAAAATTTTTTAGTAAAAATTTTTATCACAATTTTATAAATTCATGAATGTGTGAATTATTAATTAAATTTACAGGACATATCGATTGGTTAGATAAAACCAAAAATCGTTGTCATATCTACTGGAGGCGTCCAGAAGAGTGGGCTATACTAATATACGAGTGGGCAGTAAGTAATAGTTTACTTAACACTCCTTGTACTTTGTACGAAATAACACAAGGAGACGACGTTACACAAGAATGTCAGTTGGTTATTTATCTTTTCAATTTTATTTCGTAAGTATTATTATTTTTCATAGCACTACACGGAGAGGAAAAAATTTCTAAATTAGAGTTCGTATAATGCAATGTACAAGGTATTTAAGTACATGTTGCAAAATCATATGTAACACTGTGAGAATTTTTAACCATCATATATACGATTTTGGGAAGTAAAAATTTAATTTAAAGTATTCTACTGAATAGAGTAAATAGTTTGAGCACTGGATGATTGAATTTTGATTTTATATAAAGTGATCTCCTGCAATGAAGTTATTCGATTAATTTGATAAGTACAGGAATTAATCGTTCAAGATTTTAAGTCAGTTTACTCTTAGTCTTTTGGCGAAGAAATTCTTGTGAATTGTTAATTTTAATTGCAGCTTTTTACGGTTTGGATAAGGACGTATTGTTAAAGTCATTGGCAGTTCTTGTTGATCAACGTCGTGCTCAATTATTAAACAGTGGGACAGGAACAGAAGGCGTAAAATTTCTCCAATAAAACAATTTTGTAAGTTTCAGTTTTGCCACATTTGAATAATCGCAGAATTTCAAACTAAAATGTGATGAAGTAAGCATAATTCATTTCATTATAGGAAAATGGTGAATGAAACTGATTGCCCATTGGGAAAGCAATTGGACAACAAAGTAAGTTAGATTATTTAACTTTTCTGCGAAATAATAGTTCAAGTATTTAAAGAATGATAATAATCAAAGTTCTTCAAATAACTAATAGTGGTAATTGTTCCACTTCTTCGATTTTATGCCAGTTCTTTTTTCTTTTAATAATTTTCAAATATAAAAGTTCTTGAAATGAGTGAAAAAAAAAAAAAAAAAAAAACTTCTTCATATCAAGATTACAAACAATGCTTTGGAAATTTTTTTGTTATCGATCGTTTTCTGCAATATTCTTGCAATTGTTGTTTTTTTTTTTTTCAGATTACTGCTGTAAACAATACGGGTTCTGGCTTTTTAAGCAATAATGAAATAATTGAAGAAGGTGATACTGTGATTGTTTATGTCAATTACGGAACATCTTATGCGGTAGAAGTGAAACGTGGCCTCATTCTTACAATGAGATATGGTGCTTTGAAGCATGAATATCTTATAGGAAAACGGTAATTTAAATTGAAAATATTAAATTATAAATCAATGAATTACTTCAAAACAATTTGAGAAATATTTAGAAGTTGTTTATTTGCTCAATATCAAATTATCATACTGATTAGCATTTATCAATTGGTGTAGAAATGATCTTCAGTGTTTTGTAGTTTAAATCTTTACAAAAAAGAGAGAAAAACTTTCACTTTTTTTTTTGTTTTCCTTTTCAGTTATGGGTCTCGTATTAGTGCTACAGCGGGTTATGTTTATGTCTTACGTCCGAATGCAGAAATGTGGACACGTGCTTTGCTTCGACGAACACAAATTATCTATACACCCGATTCTGCACTAATTCTAATGCTGTTAGATATTAAACCGGGATCGGTGAGTTTTTATATATAGATTTAGATGTTTTTTTTTTTTTTTTTTGAAATGGTTTTCAAAATTAGTTGATTATTATGAGAAAAATACAGATAGTTTGTGAATGTGGTACGGGAAGTGGTTCGCTTTCACATGCATTAGCAATGGCTATTGCACCAACAGGACATCTATATACGCATGATGTTGAAGAGCCAAGGGTCAAACAGGTTGAACTTGAAATGTTGGTTAGTATTCTAAATCATTGTCTCTCTCTCTGAAAATTATTTTTAATCTGCAGTGCTAAACGTAAGAATTCTACAAAAACAAATAATTTTTATCATTTTTATTATTTAATGTTATATTTTGTTTAAGAAATTTTTGCAGAAACATGGATTAGGTGAAATTACTACATGTGTCCATCAAAATGTTATCAAAGATGGTTTTTCCGTGGAAAATATATGCGATGCAGTCTTTTTGGATCTTCCCGCTCCATGGATTGCAATTAAACATGCAAAGCATGCGCTAAGTCGAATAAATGGTGGCCGTGTGGTCAGCTTTTCTCCTTGCATTGAACAGGTATTTCACTTTTCCTATGCAAATTAACCTAACAGTAGATATTCTTTGTAAATGAGAAGAATTTATTTTTTTTAGTAATTTTGATACAGTTCTTAGTAGAATTGTATTACAGATACAAAGAACATGTAATGCTCTTCAATGTGAAGGTTTTGTGCAAATCAGTACGGTGGAGTTAGTGCCAAGAAAGTTAAAAGTAATTATTTTTGTTTTTGTTTAACAGATTTACTTTGATTATGAAAAGATATTCGTTATCATTGCAGTGTTAGCTACTTTTCATTTTTTTTTTTTAAAGGAGATTCTTTTGGTTAGTATTAGTACCAGGCATTTATTGCTAGATTAAATAAATATTGATTAGTTCTTGATTTTCTTGTTTAGCATTATCTTGAATTGATTGATTCATAATATTTTATGAAAAGTACTTGCTGTGTATTGCTGTTGCAATATTTTTGAATGAAAATTTAAAAGACCGAATTTTTTTTTAGACATAACATTACTATTACTTCAGTGATATTAAATATAGGGGAATGATTGAAATTCTATCAATAATGTTTCATATATTATAATCTTCAAATTTAGTTTTTCAGTTTCCATTGTAACTATCACACTATAAGCAGAATAGAAAATTTTATGATATTCCCATCAGATAGCTAAAAAAGAAACTAGGAAATTTCATGTAAATATATAAATATAGATACATTAAAATCCTTTAACCATCTTATACTGATTTAAATTTTTTTATAAAATGAAAGAAGTGTAAAATTGTATCTCATCTGTACTAGTTTTTTTTTTTTTTTTTTTTTTTTTATAGCTGTCATGAATTATCCAGGTTAGTGATAGTGTTATATCAGATAACCGGTTGTAAGAGGTGGATTGATATTCTGATACACAAATTTTAAACATTATATAGATTTTATATAGTTTAATTTTATGTATGCGATATAAATATGGATACATTGAAATCGTTCAATACGCGAAACATTCCTGTCACAAAGAAGAGACATTCGCAAGATAATGGAAATGAAACAGCAGTGGTATCAAAAAGGCCTAAATTGAAGGAAGATAAAATGATGGTTACATCAAAAAGACAATGTCTTACAAATCAGAGCAGCAATGAAAAGATTTTCACATCAGCACTACTACCATTTCCAGCAATACAACCAACACATACTGGATATATCATTTCAGCAACATTATTACCATCAATTTCATCATAATTTGTTTTGTTTTGTTTAAAAAAGAAAAAAAGAAAAACGGTATCTTTGTATGCCTGATTTTGCTACATTTTTTTTTTCTTTGTTAATTTCAAATTTAAAATTAACAGTTTAGTTTTTTTTTTTTTTTTTTTATTCGGTAAATTTATGCTTATTATTAATATAAGAATTTGCTTGCATGAATTATAAACAGTACGTATTAGTATTAATCCCGGTGATTTGTTTCTTTTATCATTTATTATTTGTTTTTTTTTTTTTAAAGTATAGTATATAGTTAGACTTTGTATTGATTAATTTTTTTTTTCTCGTTATGGCTTTCTTGCTTTATCGATTTTGTGTTATTGTTGTTATAAGTGAAAAAAAAAAATAAAATAAAATAATTCTATGTCGTAGTTTAAGGGATCTTATTTAAACATCATTTTCAAGTTACTAGGAATATTTGAAAAGATGTATGTTAGATATTTTCTACTTTTGAATAATTAAATGCTAAAATTACAAATTAATTATTTATTTCAGGATGTAATACAATAGTAGTAGCATCAATACGATTGTTTATTAGCTCACACATAAATATTTGCTGTTCGTTCATTTCATTTGCCTATGTATTTTTAAGTAGTTTAAAGATCAGATATATATATATGTTTTTCTTGGCTGATTATATTTTTATATAAGTGAGTAAAATATTTGCATTTACAGTTTTTAAAATATTTCCCATCAATTAGGAATGAACATAAATATATCTCATACAAAAAATAATTTTATTGCTTCCGTGTGTTTTTTTTTTGTTTGTTTATTTTAAGTATTACTATTCTGATTTATAGTTAATTAATTGATTGCATATATAATTGTTAGAGCTTGATTTTATAAAATTAACACTGTTTTTTTTTTTTTTTTTTCTTCAAAAAATTGTTTTTTTATGATGAAAATATTTAGACAAATTTTATTATTTTGGGGTATTTAACTTTTTTGGAATTTTTTTTTTTATGTGTGTGTGTGTTTATTTGCTAGTAGTTGTTATAATTGTTTTTCTTTTTTCTTTTTTTTTTTCTTTTAAAAGCAGTAAAAGGTACAGTGTATTCTTTTTTTTTTTTTCCTTTGCTTTTATCTCAGTACAATGAGATAAAAAGTTTTTGCATCTTAAAAATAAAACGAAAAATTTACATAATCAAACATTTGGATTATCGATGGAATTATGATCAGCGAAAATTTTTTCTTTTCTTTGATAAAAATGATAAGTAAAATTTATGTGATAGTAATGATTTAATTCAATAAATGCAGGGAAATGAATATTTATTAATTTATTATAAATTAGCATTAGCATAAATTTTTTTTTTTTTTTTTTTCAAATAATATCTCTACTTTTATTCAGTTCTTTTTATCTTCTTTTTTTTTTTTTCTTTTATAATTGATTAAACAATTTCTATTATCAATTGTATAATTTTTTTAATTTTTTATTAGCAATTTCTTTTATCACATTAATTATTATCATAAATTAGTTTAATTGTAATAAATTTTACTAAAAATAAAGTACATAATAATTCATTTTATTAATTTTAAATGAATAATTTATTATGAATAATTTTTTGTTGTAACAATTTTTCAAAAAAATTTTCTATAATTTCTGCTATTATTAAAATAAATAATTTAATTTAATTAATGATATATAATAATTTTTCTTTTTTTTTTCTGCTTTTTTTTTTTTTTCAAAAAATGATTTTTTTGATCAATCTTTTTCTCTTACTACTACTACTTTACTTTTTACTTTTTTTGACTTTTACTACTTTCTTTTAACTTTTTACTTGTTTTTTTTTTTACTTTTCATCTCTTTTTTCACTTACTATTTTCAGAAAAAAAAAATTTTTTTTATCAAATCTTAAATTAATATAATTAAATTGGTCCCTTTCATTCATTTTGCATACAAATTTGTCCATCCCTACCTTTCCTACAATAAATTGATAGATAATGTGACGTGTAGTAGAGCAGTAGCAGTAGTAGTAGTTGTAGTAATAATAATAGTATTGTCTACCTCACAATCATTTTACCATCCATTGCTTTATTGCTTTAATTGCAATTTCATTTAAACTTTCATTTCAGTTAATACTTTCATCTAATTTGTGAATAAAATTCAATATAACAAAATTCATAAATAATAATTTTTAAAATTTAATTATATTTTTTCACTCATCTTTTCTTAATCTATATTTTACCTTTTCCTTTTTTTCTTTTCTTTTTCATTCTTTTTTTTTTTTTTTTTTAAATTTTAATAAGAAAAATAAACTAACGTAGCAGTAGTAGTAGTAGTAGTAGTACACTAGTTTTTTTCTTTTTTTTTTCTCTCTCTCTCTCTCTCTGTCTATCTCTTTTTCAATTTTCTATTCTTATAAAAAATTTTAATTTAAAATAAAGAGAGAGAGAAAAAAAAAAAAAGATGAAAGAAAAAAAGCAAATAACGATTAAATGTGAAATTTTGTAATCTTTAAGAATGGCAAATTATATGTTGTAATATTTGAAAATTTAATTTCAAATTCTTCTATCTGTTTTTTCTTCCCTAATTTTTAATGATAAACAATTTTTTTTTTCACTTTTTTAATTCTCAAATAAAGTGATTTATTATAGGTTGAATAAATTAATTTATATTTTAATGATTTGCATTTTAAAAAAAAACACTAAATTATTTTAATATACTTATGTAGCAAAATGAATGCGAAAAAAAAAATTAATTTAATTAAATATATATATACATATATATGTATGTATTTATGATAATTAAGATTATTATATTTGAATTACTACAATTTTTTTTTCACTCATTTCTTCATCTTTTTTTTTTTCAAAAAAAATTCAACAATTATGTTTAATTAATTTAAAATTAACAAAACTATTTTTTTGTGTGATTTTTATAAAAAAAAGAAAGAAATTAAATATTCATGAAATCATCATCAATTATCATACAGTGTAATAACTTTAGTGACACATTATAAATTAAGGTAAAACTATTCCATTAGTGAGAGGAAGACAAAAAAAAAAAAAAAGAATGAAAAAAGTTTTCAAAATTTTCTCTGTCATCGTTTTGTCATCCAATTATTTAGCTTTTCATTTACCTAAATTCTTAACTTTAATTGTCAGTTGTAGTTAAATATTAATTGGAATTATTTTACATTTATTTAATTTGAATAAATGTTTTTCGAAATAGAAAAAAAAAAAAAAAACTTTTCTCTAAATTACTTCATTCTATTCTTATAGTATCATTTAATATATTACGATTGAAAATGTATAATTGTTTCTTTTTGTGCTTTTAAAATTTAAAAATAAAAATGATTGTGAATCATTTATTTAATTCTGAAAGCATATTCAGTTATTTATTATTATTATTATAATTGTCATTATTATCATTATTATTGTCATTATTACTATTATTATTATTATTATTAATTGTATTAATTACACTATTAATATATCAGTGATTTTTGTTGTTAACTTGTTTACATTTATGTTTATGTTTGTATATGTATATATGTTTATGTATGTATGTGTGTGTGTGTGTGTGTATGTTTGTATGTATGTGTGTATCTACGTATTGGGTATATAATATATGTATTTTTGTAATATTAATAATTATATGTATATATCTTTATGTATGTATGTATGTGTGTGTATGTATGTATGTATGTGTGTGTATGTATGTATGTATGTTTGTATGTGTGTATCTATGTATTGAGTATATAATATGTATGTGTACTTTTGTAATATTAATAATTATATGTTTTTTATTTTTTTTTTTTGTTACACCAGTGTGTGTATGTTTAACTTCTGAAATTCATTTCAATAAAATTAAAATTATGAAAAAAAAAAATTTTTTTTTTCAAATAGAATAATTTTATTACATTTAAACATTTTACTGCTACTATTACTACTGTTAGTCTTATTGCTATTATTATTATTGTAGTTAAAAGATATTTATTAAATTTCGAAAATTTTTTTCTTTTTTTTTAAATCATAAATTGAA